GTGCCCTGTCACCCTGGCAGGTTGGGGAAACGCTCAGTCCAGGCTTTCTTCATCTCCTCAGTATGGCCTTTCTGAGGATTTTCAGGATTCAGGAAGTTTTAAGAAATGACATTTCAGAGTCCGAAGTACGCACTTTTAAAAGCTTTCCCTCCAGAAATGTTCCAGCTACACTCATTCCCTTGCTGACTGAAAGCTTCTATTCCCCAGACTCTTCCTATTGTTGTTTTTAACTATTGAATTTGCAAAATAATAGTAATAAATAATTAGTTTGCCTTTTATTTTGTGTTTATGTGACTACTAGTGAAGCTGAACTTTTGCCCCCCTTTTATGACTTTTGAATTTCTTTTTTTCTATGAGCATTCTGCACCTCAGTGCATTCTCAGTGATCTAGGGAAAATTTTTCCCACATGGAAATCAGGAAGTCATCTTAGCTGACTATGATTCTGCCTCTTGACAGCCATATCATTCTGGCACCTGAGTGCCTTATTCTCGTGGACACAGTGAGGAGTGCAATGCCTGCCTTCTGGGTACCTTGAGGTCTGGGAATGTTGCTTATAAGATACACAGAAATATAAACCCTCATAGATGGATCTTCCTGGCTATGTTACCTTGGGGAGGTTCTCTAACCTTTCCATGCCTCAGTTTTCTCACTATAAAATGGGGATAATAATAATATCTATAGCAGATCACAGGTTTAAATGAGCGGCTCATAAAGATTGCTTAACACAGTGTCTGGCACACTGGGAAGTGGAAGACTCAATATATTTTCCCAGTTTTTATCTATGATGGATCTTTGAGATCTTTCATTCAGGCAATGGACAGAGCTTGCTGGTGATGAGTTGATGGTAGACTCTTGGCATGTCTGAGCTCCTAGACCCTTCTAGAAATCACTCCCTTCACTTAGATCTGGCAGACTGGGGGCCCAGAGCAGGAAAGGCACTCACCAAAGTCACTCAGCAAATGAGAGGCTGGGACAGGATGGATGAGGATGTTGTCTCACTAAGTTTCACCCCTGACCTGTTGCGGGCCCCCAGTGCCTGCCTCCCGAGTGGCTTCTCATCATGTATGGAAGTCCCCCGGGTGCTGGAACATGGTTACCTGGGGGAAGAACAAGGTCACCCTGTAGCCCACCTCCTGAGGCCCATAGAGAGCAGGAAATGCCACCTCCCAGGGTGGGTCAGAGTCTCTG